TCTCTATCTTCGTACAGACCGATAAGGGTGCGTATCGTCCTGGCCAGACCGTGCGTATGCGCGTAGTCACTGTGCAGCCTAATCTAAAACCATACAGCGGATCGTTCAATGTGCACATTGCTGATAACAGTAAGAATCGCCTGGCCCAATGGCTGAATGTACAGCCTATGAATGGGATATGGAGTGAAGACTTCCCCATCTCTGAATATTCACCACTGGGTAACTACACCATAGAGGTGAATGCATCCACAGCTCAGACAAGCACCCAGTTTGAAGTGCGTGAATACGTCCTGCCGAAGTTCTCCGTCTCTGTATCGACAGTGCCCTACGTTGCCAATGATGAGAGCTCGGACATTGTTACCTTCATCAGCGCTCAGTACACGTACGGTAAAGCTGTTGAGGGAACTGCCAAGGTGGAGCTGTTCCTCAACAATGTCTACCAGCGTTGCAGTGGAAGGAGCAATCCGAGAATCAGCCGTCAAGTGACACTCACCGCTGGCAAGAACGCTTCAGTCACGCTGACCAGGGCGCAGTTCAACAGTCTCTTCTGCTCGTTTAATTGCTTTCAAGGCTACTTCCAAGGTCACCAGCAGCTAGTGGTCAATGCCAGTGTCACAGATCTTGTCAGCGGCGAGACACGCCACTCCAGCAGCAGCGCAGGACTCTACTACTACGCCAAGCAGCTGGCGTTCGACAGTGCAGTGCCAGCGAATACCTTCAAACCCGGCAACAAGTACCTGATACGCCTACTGTACAGCACGCCGGACAAGAAGCCTATCAGCGGTGCCAGCATTTCTATTACCGTCAATAGCAACGGCGCGGAGCAAAAAGCCACACTGACAACAAGGAACGGTGTCATCAACCACGTTATCACTGCTCCCAGGAGCTCATCGTACATGAGTATCCGAGCTTACCCGACCCTGGGCGACATGAACAAGTACTACCGCCCCGTGTATCTAAGTCCCTCCGTGGCTCTTTCACACACTGGCTCTTTTCTACAGCTCTCTGCGACCAAAGCCAACTATGCTGCAGGAGAGATGGCAAGCTTCACTGCCACGGCCATTGTTAACTCGACATCGACTGTCTTCAATCAGGTAGTGTACACCGTGCACTCACGAGCTACTCTGGTGCACCACGGCGTGGTACTGCCGACCGCCGGCTCATTGACTGCGTGGTTCAGTTTCATCGTCACGCCAGCAATGGGTCCTTATGCCAATGTGCTTGCCTACTACGTGGCTAGTGGCGAGCTGGTGGTTGACTCGTTGTCGGTGAGTGTGAGTGGCGTGTTTGAGAACAATGTTCAAGTGTCCTTTGGCCGGGCAGAAGCTCGCCCCAATGACAACGTCACACTGACTGTGTCTGCAGAGGCTGGTTCAACTGTTGCAGTGTCCATTGTTGATCAGAGTGCACTTCTTGTCCGGCAAGCAAACACCATAACAGGGAGTGGTGTCAGTGAGGAGCTTGCTCGGTACGACAGGAGTGGTCGACCTATCTCGTACGACGGGCCTGTTTGGGCGCTCATCGAACCCGCCATCGTCAATCGCCGTCGTCGCCGCGATGTATTACCAGGCCCATGGTACTACTATGGCACTACGGCCGGCTCTATCCTGCGCAGCGCTGGTATATGCATTATCTCCGATCTCAATGTGCCAGACAATCCTTATGTGCCATTTTTCCGCGCTGATTCCCCTGATGGTGGTGGTATTAACCCCGAGGTGGCTTCCTTTGATAAATCTGGTGGGGGGTCTTCAACGCCCACAGTGGGCGAATCACTTGCCGTACCAGACCACACCCGTGACTTCTTCCCCGAGACCTGGCTGTGGGCCACTGCGAATGCATCGGCCAGCGGCACAGCAGAGTTTGAGACAGTCGTTCCCGACTCTATCACATCGTGGGTAGCGAGTGCCTTTGCTGTGTCGCCGAGCAAGGGCATGGGTGTAGCACCGTCAACCGTCAAACTGCGCGCTTTCCAGGAGTTCTTCATCTCGCTCAACCTACCGTACTCTGTGATTCAAGGCGAGGAGCTTGTCCTCCAGGTCAATGTGTTCAACTACCTGGACACCAGCCAAGAAACACTGGTCACATTAGACTCCACGCCCAGCCTGAAGGTAACCGGTGCCAACGCTGGACAAGCAGCAAGCAAGACTATTACAGTCCTGGCTGGGAAAGCACAGTCAGCCTTGTTTATTGTCAAACCGACCATATCTGGTCGTCTTCCAATCACCGTCACGGCCCGTGCTGGTTTAGCTGCCGACCGTGTCATTCGTCAGCTGCTCGTTGAGCCGGAAGGTGTTACAAAGTCCTACTCGCATGGTGTATTCATTGACCTGACCAACACTGGCTCAATGACAGAGAAACTGCTCCTATCACTTCCTACCGAGGGCTTAGTTCCTGGCTCAGCGCGGACGGTCGTTTCAGTCATTGGCGACATCATGGGGCCAGCACTTTCCAATCTGGACAAGCTCTTAACCATGCCGTATGGCTGCGGCGAGCAGAACATGGTAGCGTTTGCGCCCGACGTCTTCATCACACGCTACCTCACCGCCAGCAGAATGACCACGGGCAGCATACTTTCCAAGGCCAAGCGCTTCATGATGTCCGGCTATCAGCGTGAGCTGCGCTATTGGCGCAATGACTACTCGTTCAGTGCTTTCGGGCAGCGAGACAGCGTCAGCAGTCTATGGCTTACTGCATTCGTCGTCAAGTCTTTCTCACAAGCGTCGCCGTATATCTACGTGGACCCCAATGTCATATCCAAGTCCCTGCAATTCATCCTGGCGCAGCAAACCAGCTCTGGTTCTTTCCGCCAGGTGGGTATGGTGCACAGCTCGCATCTGAAAGGTGGTCTGCAGGGGGACGTTGCACGCGCCGCCTACGTTCTCACCGCCTTGGTCGAAGCTAGCACTGTTCAGAACCGGCCGTCGATTGCTCTCACCAGTGCAGTTGCTAAGGTGCAGTCCTACATTGAAGGCCAGTTGAGCCTCGTCACAGATAACTATACACTGGCGCTGAGTACGTATGCTCTGAAATTGTCCGACAGCAGCCTGGCATCGGAAGCTATCACTTTACTACTGGCACGTGCTGACCGCACTGGAGGCACACTCAGTTGGCGCGACAGCCGCAAGCAGATGGTCAGTTCTCGCTGGCGCGCTCCCTACTACCGCGCTCCAGCAGCGGATGTGGAACTGACGGCCTACGGTCTACTGGCGCTGGTGCTGCACAAGCGCATCGCCGATGCCTCTGCGGTTGCACGCTGGCTTTCGTCCCAACGCAACTCATACTCATTCGATTCTACACAGGATACTGTTGTCGGTTTGCAAGCACTGGCTGATTTCGCCATGCTGGTCTCTGCCACACCACCAACCATGAACATCAATATAGCCTCAGAGGGCCGTGCTGCATCGGCATTCTCACAGTCGTTCAGTGTGAACAGTGTGAATTCATTGGTACTGCAGCAGACGGAAGACTTCCCAGTACCGTCTACTCTTGCCCTCAGTGCTACCGGGTCCGGCACGGTCGTTCTCTCTATTGAGGTGTTCTACAACCAGTATACCGATGACGTCAATGCCTACACTATGGATACGGACTGCTCGCTGTGGAAGCAAGGCGAGAGACTCGGCGCTACTTGCAAGTACTGCACACGTGCTGCTGCCACCACCTACGCAGACGCGGGTATGTCACTGCTAGAGATTTCCTTGCCGTCCGGTTTCAGTGCTGACATGGATACGGTCAACCAAGCTCTTTCCAGAGAACCCATGGCTGGGCGCGTGGAAACTCCCGACCGCCGAGTTGTCTTCTACTTGGATGAGATCAGCTCTCGTGATACGTGCGTCTCCTTCGATATCGTCCAGAACTTGATTGTTGGTCGGCTTCAGGCCAGCGCCGTGCGTACTATCAACTACTACAACCCGTCGGTAAGCAATGCCAGGCTGTACAATGTGAGTGCAGAGGTGATCCCGCTGTGCTGCCAGTGCCCGACGTGCGATAGCTGCTCCAGCACCAGCACTACCAACTGTCCACAGTTCAGTACACGGCCTAGCGGCAGTAGCGCTGCTGCTCTGCCTGCTGTCACGACAACAACCACTGCTCTGGCCATGTTTTGCTGCCTAGCCATGACCGTGCTCTTCTGATAAGCTCTGCTGTGATTGATACATGGTTGATTGATACATGGTTGACTGATTGTTAGAGAACATGCAAGACTCATGTACCTCTTGTCCACCACACAGTTCCAGGACAGACGTCTTCTTTCTCACAACCAACAACCGTAGCACTGGGTTACTACTGACTGATTTTCTATCATGAAGCAGAACATTAGTAGGATAATACAATAAGATGATAGGTGAGAACCATAATGCATAGGGCGAGCAGAGTTCGGAGATCGTGCAAAATGGTGCAAACAGAACATAGCAAAGCAGGCAAGTCACTTGTCCGAGGTCATCACACAGATGGCAGACAATTAAGCCTGGTGCTTCCACCCAACTAAATCTATTGCAATGTTGACATTGCAATGCAACTTCCTTGTGCACAGGCACACTTGGCAGTTTAGATCACGTTCCAACGCCCTAATAATAGACATCACTAAGGCACAATGCAATCATTGCACACGCAGCATGTACCATTGCGGTAGTCTGTAACAAGGCCTGACCTCATGCCTCCACATCAACAAACCACACAAACCTGTTCCTGCTCTAGCAACTAAGCACACACGAAGCAATGCATATGTCACCAACAGCACGATTATACTTCACCCCTCCGCCTGGTGACATAGCTGTATAAAACTAGTGTGTCCTCCACTGTCAAACTAGATTCTGTAGCGGGCTGGCGGCTGAATGAGTTGGCGGTCACGGAGGCCCATCCTCCTGTCTCCATCACCACCAGCGTTGTCTCGACTACCTGTAGCTTCCAATTCACCAAGCCACAACGCATCTGGATCGTACTCAGCTTCACATTCATCAGGAACTGGCGCCTCCGCATCGACTTCCGCCCTCGGTATCACTGATTCAGGTGCCTGGGGCTCCTCCGCCTGCCTTCAAGAGATCCACATTGACGACCTTCTCCTGTACCTGGCCCATGTGCGGCTGCCGGCGCACCACAACAGTTGACGGTGATACCACTTTAATCACCAACCAACCGGTTTGGAATGGTGGGAGACGCTTCTGACGCCGGGACGGCTGCTTCAGTAGCACAGAATCGCCCACGCGAAACGGACAGTCACGCTCATCCTCCTGGCGATCCACCTTCGACAGCTCGGAATCTAGAAGATCACGAAGTCGGGCGCACGGTGCTGCATGCGCTTGCTGCCAGACAGTTGATTCCGTAGTCACACCCGTGATGATTGACTTTGGCTCCCAGCCAACCATGGCCAGCATGGGCGACACGCCCGTCATTCTGTGGGGCCGGTAAAAGTGCAGCATGACGGGGAGATCCTGCAGCCAATCAGACGAGTCCTCGGCCAGCTTCCGGATCATCGTCAGAAGGGTTCTGTTCATCCTCTCTGCTGTTCCTTGCGACTGCGGGTGTCGCACTGCCCCCGTCTTCACTGTCACTCCAAAGGCATCAAAGACTGACTGCACTACCGCATTCGCAAACTCACTGCCGTTGTCGATACGGACGGTGTCCGGTGGGCCCCAACGATGACATAGCTCGGTAAATGCTTCAGCAACCGAGGGCCCGTCATGTCGGCGCAGCGGGACGATCTCTGCCCACCGTGTCAGGACGTCGACTACCACCAAGACACATGCGAATCTGCCGCTGCGGCACAGTCCTAGCTCGAGCGTGTCCATCACGACTGTGCTCCACGGTCTCCCAGGAATCTCGTGTCGAGTTGGCGACACAGACTGACTTCCGGAGCTGTTGGCTGCACGACACTGCTGGCACTGGCTGACGTACTGCTGGCACTTCTCAGCCATGTGCGGAAAGTAACACTTCTGGCGTAGGATCTCATAGACCGTCTGCCAAGATGCATGGCCAGACCCGGCATGGGCCGCTCGAATGACGCCATCTTCCATCTCGCCAGGAAGAACTGGTACGAGTACCACACCGTCAGCAGGGACCTTCACACTCCGGCAGAGAAGGTCATCTTTGATGCAGAGCTGGGAACGCACTGCCTTGAAGTCGTCATCTGTCACAGGCATGCCCATCGACACTTGTTCCATGACGGCACGTACCTGGCCGTCGTTTTGCTGCGCCTGCTTCACCCCCGCCAGCTCGACAGGAGCGGAACCAGCGGGTACAGCGGCTGCCACGTCGTTGCTCGTCTTGGGGCAGCGAAATGGCACACGGGTCATCTTAGCCGCCACGTTCTGATATTTCGGCACCCAGACGACCTGGACCTGCAAGCCAGTTGTTGCGATGAGGTCGTCTACGATTTGCAGTCGGCGTTGCACGAGAACTTCATACAGGCCATCAGCTCGCACACGCCGTGTGCCATCGACAACTTGGGTCAGCCACCCTGCCACTGTTTTTGAGTCGGTCACCAGCTTCACACGCTTAGCCTTCCACTTGGTTACGAGACTCAGGCCCTTGATTGCTGAGTCGAGTTCAGCCACGTTGACATGACGCTTGTCCTGCTTTGGCCGCAGCCAGCAGGCGTCCTCTATGACTTCGTCGTGCAGCTCCAGGACAACACCGGTTGCGAGGTCGGACGCGTCACACCAGACCGTCCAGGCCGAGTCGTCGTCCGCTACCACATCCCAGCAGCCATGGACTGGGTCGTCCTCAGCAAGCTTCATACACAAGTTGGCACAGCATTGCACTGCAGCTTGGGATACCGGATCGTCCCACGCGCTTCCCTCTGGACTGGCCAACCGCTTGAGATAGCTGCACGCAGGTCGTAGCCAAGAGCATACAGGGTAGTGGCCTATTAGTCGCCCACACCATGCGAACAAGCTACGTTTGGTCAGCTTGGGCGGTGGCTCCAGGTCGATGTCCCTTCTAGTCCATTGGGTCCTGCAGTCGTTGTCGTCATCGTTCCTGAGCTGCATGCCAAGCACACGGGATTTCGTCAGTGGCTCAGCTGGCTTTGTTGGCAGGCCATATGCAGCCAACTCAGCGGCAACCTGCTCCGTTTCTCCAGCCGGGGTGTGGATATCGTCGACATAGTTGTCAACCGATGGGTGGTTGCGGGTGACCCACTGCACAATCATGTGCATGATCTTAGGCGCAATCGCTAGGCCGAAGCCCATTCTCGTCATGAGATAGACTTTCTCCTTCCACAGCACAGCTTGATATCGTGCAAGCTCTGGGCTGACGTGTACCTGGAGGTAGGCCTTCTTGATATCGAGCATCTTCCACTCACCACCGCTAGTCTGCCGCCACTTCCTGATCTTCTCCGCACAGACGGGAGCCTCGTAGCCCGGTTGCGATTGGATCAGCTTGTTCACGCCGCGATAATCTAAACATGGCCGAACTGGCGTACTGGCCTTATGCTCCTGAGTACGCGCGAGCAGTGGCAACACGCCGGCGATCGCTCCGTGTACGGCTTCATCGTGCTCGACGAGCCAGCCATTTTCCACCCAGGTGTCCACCTCGTGGCAGAATAGCTGCTCTTGCTCTGCAGTCAGCGATTCCCGTGGGTATTGCCCGCTGCCGTGGCCGACTGGGTGCTGTGGGGCCTTTCCGTTTTTCCACACCCACTTCAGCACCCAACGCTTCGTGTCATGGCACCAACGCACCTCGCCGTCGTCTACACACAACGTCACGTTGTCGCCATCTTGGGTGACCCGAACATGCCTTGACGGATGCGCTTCCTGGCACTTGGCTACAGGCTTGGTATGCACGGCGGACGCAGCACACGCATCAGTGCCAAACCTCACTCGCTCCAGCTCGCCGTCATCATCATAGCTGAGACGTAGACCCCTGCACCGGCTTACGACGGCCGATCCAATGAGCAAATCGGCACGTACCACGGACAGGTCCTCCACCACCAACACCTCAACCTCTGTGTCCGGCATGGCAACTGGGGTTGACCCGTCCAGTCGTCCTACACACACGCTGGCCTTGCCGATGATGCCCAGTGGCTGGCCATCTAGGGCAATGATGTGACTGCCAGACTCAGCTAACAGCAGTACTCCATCCATAGCACATTGCTTGGTCATCAGCGTGCTTGTGGCTCCAGTGTCGATGACCGCCACCTTTCGTTGCGCACTGTCCTGACTGCCCCTCTTCCAGACATCAACATAAATCCTAGGGAGCCTGGCACCTGCAGTCAGCGCTGGTACAGCAACAGAACAGAGAGCAGCATCGTCGATCTCAGCAGCAGCCGCGGCAGTGCCCTTACTTGACTGCGTGGCCTGCCAGGCCTTCCGTTCAGGACAATCAGCCTTCCACTCTTGTCACAAAAGAAGCACGTAATTCCGCGTGCGCGACTCGAGCTAGTCGATGGTCCAGGCTGCTTGCGCTGACCCTGCGGGCAATCACGTTTCATGTGGCCTTGCTCCTTGCACCGGAAGCATATCACATTCTTCATCGGTTTCGAACTCGAAGCAGGGCCAAGCGCAGCCGCACTTCCAGTTCCATACTCCGCACTGCTAGATCGACCGTCGTCACTAAACTTACTTGAGGGCTCGGACTAGTTCTAAGCACCCACTCACCGTGAGCGCCTTTCCTGCCATTGACAGACGAATTTGGCGAGACCAAGAAGACGGAATACCGGCCATTAGCTGCTCGACGATGACACTGTTGTCGTCCTTATCGCTGGACTCTTGTCCAGCTAGTTTGCCCAGACGCTGCAGGTCCGCAACAAATGCGTCGGGCGACTCGTCCATCTTCAACGTCCGACTCGTCAGCAAGCTGAAAGCTCGCGCTCGTGTGACACAGAACGCCTCCTGCATCTTCTTCTTCACTGCTGCGGAGCTCTTCCTGTCGTCCGCGGACATCCTGTTGAAGACAAGGAAAGCGTCCTTCTCCAGAAACAGCGGTAGCTGCGGCATTTTCTTCTCGTCGGAATCCCATTCCTTGATCGTCGCGAGCACTTCGAATTTGGCCCAAAATGTCTCGAAGTCATCCTCACTCCCGCGATACGGGCGTAAGTATCCCTGAGCTTTTGACATCTCTCCTAAAACTGGTTCCCGGGTTTCGGCATGTGATGATATTGGAACTATATCATTTGGTGCCATTAAATATCCCTATACATATACATATACAGTAACTATAACCTTCACATCCTCATATTTACACCTGTCCATATATGACATTAGAATAGCATGCTGCGTACTACTTCCCGTACTACCGGTACCTTTTCTAGTACTCACATATTGTACAACTTTACACACCAAGATAAAATAACAAGGATGACAGCCCTTCAGGGTTAGTTGTCGGTTAGCCGGACAAGAGTGGGTTGTTGGTGTGTCCTCCCCTAGGCACTTCACATGGTGTCAGAAGTGGTCCAGTCACTGTGTGTCAGTACTGCGTACCTCCGTCGTTGCTGAAAGTTTGCGTAATTTTATTTCTAGTTTTTCGTTTTTTCGAGTTCGTGGGGCCGCAAGTGAGCTAGCCATGGATCTCGAGTCGTTGGCGTTTGCTCGCCACGAGCAGTTGAGGGACATCTGCCGGGGGCTGCATCTCCCCACCGGTGGTGCACGCTCTGATCTTGTGCGGCGGATCCTCTCCGTATCGCACAGCAGTGCGCGGATGGATCGGGAGATCGACACTGAGTTCGAGGAGGTGGCCCCGGATGATGACGAGCTCACTGGCTTACCTGATGCTGCTACCAGGTCGACGCTCCCTTCTCCACCCATGGATTTGTTTCGTCCCGCACCGTCTCCGAAACCTCGCTTGCCGAAAGTAAGTGATAATCCTTATTTCGGCAACAGTATTGTGAGCAACAAATTAGATTACAACAGTGAGCAGTCCTTTGCAATGAACCAGTCGCAGTTTCAGGCCAATCAGGGTTCTGCTCCTACTACTACTACTAGTACTAGTACTAGTACTTACCATACGCATGACGCACCTGCACTGGCTTCCGCTAGCCGTCGTACTCGTACTGGGCGTACACATAGCCATACTAAGGTTGCATGCTCAACTCCGGAGCCAAAAGCGGTCCACGTCCACCGTCAGCCCGTACATGTCGCTTTTGGTGAGGATCCCGTGTATGGAGACCCTAGGCCTAGTAGTAGTACGCACGAACTGAGTGATCAGGCGCAGGCCAGCACTACTAGTAGTCGTACACGTACACCCGCAGGTCCGCATGCCCCGCACGTGCACATCGATCCTGCTGCTGAGAACCCTGAGCCTGAGCCTGAGGCTGAGGCTGAACACGAACAGCGTTCCGCCACCGATGTCGATGTCGATGTCGATGTCGACTCGCCGTCCCAGCTGTCGATGCTCACGCAGTTAGTCACGCAAATGGCGCAAGTGCAACTCACTCAGGCCACACGGCGATTCTCTCAGAAGGTGCCACTGGCTAAACTGCGCCCTGGGGACGATGTTGAGGCATTCCTCACCAGTTTCGAACGATCCATGCGGGCGTACAGAGTTCCTCCGGACGATTGGGTCTATTTGCTAAGCCCCCAGCTGACTGACAAGGCCTTGTTGGCATACACGGAACTTGCCTCCACTGAGGCTGACAGCTACGACCGCGTGAAGGAGGCCATTCTCCATCGCTATGCCGTTACCCCCGAAACGAGCCGCCGTAAATTTCGGGGCACTACGCTGCAGAGCTCGGAGTCCATGATTGACTTCGCCGTCCGTGTCCGTGACACTGGCAGTCGTTGGCTAAGCCCCGCATCCTCGCGCGAAGCCATATGTGAGTTGATCCTACTGGAACAGTTCTTGTCTGCGCTTCCTTTTGGTTTACGCACTTGGCTGCGGGAACGCAAACCGTCGTCCCTCGACCAGGCTGCTTCGCTAGCGCAGGACTATCTTGACGCACGGGATCGCGTACAGGAGCCCAGCAGTGGTCGTCTCAGCAGCGGCAGGGAACAGTCTCTTGTCTGCCACATTTGCCAGCAGCGTGGCCACATGGCCAGGGATTGTTCTAAGCGACGGGCACCATTGCCGAACACTGACGCACGTGCCCAGGTGCAGGGGTCATTTGCGTCACCCCGAGACCGGACGTCCGAGTCATCCAACCTTGCTCGAGTTCGCTGGGCTGCACCAACCTCAGGCTCAGCGCGGGACCGGCCAGTATCTTCCCCAGCTAACCCCAGTCAGACCCACTTGTCATCTGACCGCCCAGTGACTTCTCGTCCTGACCGTCCCACACCACCACCGAGACGCCCCATGTCGCAGCCGCGTTGCTATAATTGTCGTGAGCTGGGACATATTGCTATTAAGTGTCCGAATCACACTCGCACCGCTCTGTTTTCCAGCCCAGATCAGGAAGTCCAAGATGCTGGTACAGTTCATTTGCTGCCGGATGAGGATGATCTGCTGGGTGAAGCATATTTCTGCTCACCCCCTCCACCTGTAGACTCTGGTCGGTTGCCCCCCGCTAATCCCAGCGCCGCCATGGGACCAGCACCGGAGTACACCGTCGCTGGGTACGTGAATGGTACCCACGTCCCGAGCATCGTTGTTGATACCGCGTGTGGCCGCACCATGGTACACAGGACCTTGGTCCGGGACCAAGATTTGTCTGGTGAGACTACCTCCATTCGTTGTGCCCACGGTGATGTGGCCAGTTACCCCATGGCCGATCTGACCATCACCATCGACGGCATGGTGTACTATGTCAAGGCAGCAGTGTCCGAGCACCTGCCCCGTCACGTGTTGCTTGGCCGTGATGTGCCCCACATACATGAGTTGGTCCGGCTGTGTCAGCCAGCCGCCACGGACGTCTTGGTCTCTACGCGTGCACAGGCCAAGGCTTCACCTGAGTCGACTGGTGCTGCTGGTTTGCACGACATCTTCCCGTTCGAGGATGAACTGTTTGAGGAGTTGGCCTCGAATGCAGCTTCTTTGCGTGCACCGCCGGCGGACCTATCTAGCACACCAGAGGTGACACCGCCACCTATCTCTGCACCCGATTTGCCAGATGCCACCCGTTTCGCCGACGAGCAACGGCGTGACCCATCTCTTAGCCCATGTTGGGACTATGCTACTGGCCGACACAAGACGCCCGTCAATGGCAGTACCTTCTGTGTTCGCCAGGGCCTCCTCTACCGGGAATACTCACCGGATGGTGAAGCGGGGATGGACACCACCAGCCCCTACTACCGCCTTCAGTTGGTTCTGCCCACGGAACGGAGATCCACCATTCTGCACCTCGGCCACACCGTCCCCATGGCTGGCCACATGGGACAGGCGAAGACATCCCAGAGGATTCTTCTCCGTTTCTGGTGGCCGACGATTCTTCAAGATGTCGCACAGTATTGTTCCGCCTGTGAACCATGTCAGCGCACCGCCCGTGTTCTGCGTCATGATCGGGCACCACTTATTCCTCTTCCTGTTATTGGCGAGCCCTTCCGGGTGGTAGCTATTGACATTATCGGCCCATTGCAGCGTACGCAGTCCGGCAAGAAGTACATCCTCACCTTGGTGGATTATGCAACCCGCTATCCGGAGGCAGTCGCTCTTTCCAATATTGAGTCGACTACCGTGGCTGATGCGTTGATATCCATCTTTTCCAGAGTAGGACTGCCAGACAAAATCCTCTCCGACCAAGGCTCCAACTTTACGTCGGACGTCCTCCGACAAGTTGCTGCTTTACTCCGTATCCAGCTTACCACATCCACTCCGTACCATCAACAGACCAATGGCCTCGTCGAACGGTTCAATGGTACCCTCAAGGGTATGCTTCGTCGGTTTGCTGCTGATGCGCCACGAAGTTGGGACGAGGTGCTCCCATATGCTTTATTTGCGTATCGAGAGGTGCCTCAAGCCAGCACTGGTTTCTCACCATTTGAGCTCCTGTACGGCCGCCATGTCCGCGGCCCGCTGGATCTCGTGCGCGATGCTTGGGCTCAGCCAACGGAGGAGCTCCGGACCACTACTGCCCAGTTCGTCCTCACCATGCGGGACCGGCTTGAACGCATATCGACTGAGGCTGGCTCCCACCTTGCCACCGCGCAGCAACGGCAGAAGGCCTACTATGACCGCCAGAGTCGGGAACGCACATTTGCTCCGGGAGACGAGGTACTGCTCTTGCTTCCGGCTTCGGCTCGCAAAATGGAAGCCGTGTGGCAAGGCCCTTACCCTATTCGGCGTAAGGTCGACAAGGTCAATTATGAGATTGACATGGGACCCCACCGCACGAAGCGATATCGGGTTTTCCACATCAACCTCCTGCGGCGGTTTCGCCGGCCCCAGCTCGCGGCCTTCACCGTTCCTATGGCGGAGGACGACCCAGACACGGAGCTGCTGCTTGACGACTGCTCCCCTCTACACGTTGATGGTGGCCGTCCTACCATTAACCCCGACCTTTCGCCGGACCAGCGGCAACAGCTCGACATGCTGCTATCGGAGTTTGAGGATACCCTCTCACCCCAGCCTGGCCAGACGACCGTGGTGGCTCACTCCATCCACACTGGCGACGCCACACCCATTCGTTCCCGGCCATATCGTCTTGCCGCTGCGCACCATTCTGTTGTCCGCGATGCCGTCGACGAAATGCTGGACATGGGCGTCATACGCGCATCCCGCAGTCCGTGGTCTTCACCCGTTGTGCTTGTGCCGAAGAAGGACGCCTCGATCCGCTTCTGTGTCGACTACCGTGCCCTTAATCAGGTGGCCCAGTTCGACTGTTACCCGATGCCGCGGGTGGACGAGATCCTCGACTCTGTCGGGTCTGCCCAGTTTCTCTCCACCCTTGACCTGTCCAGGGGGTATTGGCAGATCCCTCTGGCAGAGGATGCGTGTGCCAAGACGGCCTTCACCACACCGTTTGGCCTGTACGAGTTCACTATGATGCCATTCGGGCTCCATGGAGCGCCTGCAACATTTCAGCGTTGCATGGATACCGTCTTGGCTGGTCTCCCGTTTGTCCTGGCGTATTTGGACGATGTCGTCATCTTCAGTCCGACTTTTGAGGACCATCTTGTCCAGCTCCGCCACGTTCTTGGTCGCCTTCACGACGCTGGGCTCACTGTGAAGCCGAAGAAGTGTTTATTGG